AAGAGTGTCTGTTTTCTACATGTTGATGGAAACCACATAATTTCCATCTCATTTTCTTAACTTTCAGAACTTCTGGCAGGCAATGGCTAATCCTTGTGGAGGGAGGTCAAGGAGACTTGCTTCACCCAGTATCTCAGGGCTAGCTTACTTTAACTTACTCCAATTTTACACTGCCTCAGGATCATGGATGGGTGGAAATGAGCACCAAAACCCTCCATGGCAGTGCTCAGAAGCTGCGCTGGGGCACAGTAAGCAAAGCAGCATCCTCTGGGCAGCTCAGCAGTGAGGGAGAGAGTTCCTGGCCGCCGGAATGCCTTTTACAAAGTGTAAGTATCTGGCCTATTCTTTCTAATTATGATCGCTTGTTCATTATATTATTGTTATTACTACCAATCATCTTACTCTTTGCCTTTTTCTCTCTATTTTCTACCCTTTTGTTATACCTCTTACCACCTCAACTGCAAGCTTCAGAAAACGATGGTTTACACTTATGTTGTGCACAGTGCAGTGGTGCTCCAGCACTGCTCCAGTCTCTACGCACCGCTGTATCAATAGCAATGATGTTAGAGAGATACAAGGGAGAAAAATCAGAGCTGACAGGTATTTCTGGATGATGTATTCCCAATAATCCTTCACATTCCAACTACAAGAAGGGAAGTAGTGTAACAGTGGCTACAAAAATGAAACAGTTCCAGATCTCTTTCATCTGATCATTCTGATCATGCTTTTTAATGCATTAGCTGAGGAGCAACCTGAAACTGCAGCACATCTTAGAGCAACACAGAATGTGAAGAAGAGAAAGATCTACTCAGTCAATGTTTAAGATGATGACTCAACCAAAACTATAATGAATTAAACAACAGAAGAGTTGGGTCTACATGCAGGCAGGCATGACAACAGACGGATCTACTGGGCCATGCTGTTGCAGAGGCCATTGCTGAAATAATACTACTAATTGTAATTGTAACAGCTAAAATTTAAAAGAGATCCTGTATGAAAGAATCAGGCAAGCACAACAAAGGTTATTCCAAGTCTGGAAAGCAATCATTACAAGTGACACAATTCCTGAATTAAGCTAATTTGATAACTGTCTGGAAAAACCTAATAAATATTTGTAGTACGACTCTACAGCGTAACAGACAAAAGCAGTGAATAACTGGAAGCTTCTGAGGATGACAAACCACAACACACTTGGATATGTGATGAAACCTATTTGCATTTTTGAGACAAAGCGTATTCCATCACTTGAGTATTTCTTTCTAAAAGGTAAGTGGGTGAAATTCTATGGCTTGTACAGACAGCTGAATAAAAGATATCATCTCAAAAAGGAATAAATTTTATGAATAATTTCTCCTTTAAGAAAATCAGACCTGCTGTATATTTTCTAGAATTCTGACTAAAAATTATAATCCACTAATGAAATAGGAACAAACACTTTATTCCATAACAGCTGTCAGCTCTCTATAACCTGTGATGATTACCAGACTGATTTTGTTCTTTAACAAGTCATGTCATCTAAGGCACTTAACACTAAATTTTGAAAGAAAATTTCATTATGTCCACTTCAGCCTATTTGTTATGTGATGATTACAGTATCTTTAACTACTATATGCCTCATTTTTCCCCACTGGTAAGCAAAACCACAGTATTATCTCCCAGCAGAGCTGCAAGAATTGGATAACTGACAGGTACAACTACTGACATATTTATTGCCAAAGTATTAACAGAGCAGTACAACAGCTTTAAACGGCTAAATCTACCTTGTTTGGTAAATGTTTGGGATGTTCCCAATAAAGGGAAAAGGGATTGGTGGAAATGCTCAGTTATTTTGTTCCTTTCCAGCTTTTACTGACTGACAGAATGCCATCTGTTGCCAGAACGGAAGATATTGTTTATAGATTCAGTTAGTATGCTGAAATGTCGATATGTAAGTTGCTGTCTGTAACACTAGGATGAGAAACAGGTTTAGAGTCAATAGTGTTAATACTCTAAACTCCTTTCTGATTTTCTTTTAATTAGACTTAAAAAAAAAAAATAAAAATCCTCTCGTATAAAATTCCTCTCCAACATTCAGAAGAAAAGGTCACTATTCAGTTAATAATTTTTTTTTAATAGTAAATGAGGCACTTACATCTTAACTAGAATAGCCTCTCTCTCATCTGCGTGTATGTATGTGTGTGTTACCTAAACATCCAGATTTTCTGTTTTCACAATTATATACCATAATTGACCACAATGCTCATCGTGTCTATAGAGATGGTGGGTTCAGATTTATATGAAGATTAGATTTTGATCAAGTTTGTTCCAGTGTGAGGTAAATTCTACAGCTACGCAGAAGCTGCTCTCTTTGAAATCAAACCAACCAGCACATATTTGAGGCAGAAAACATGAGCTATTACTTTAACATAATTTAAGTTTATGCTTTGTCTCATGAGTGAATGGTTTGCATTAAAGCAGTTGTGTCCAGAAACCTACCTCAAATCACGACCACCTTATGGTAGGTATTACATATAAAAGGGAAGGATCTTTACATAGTAAATAGATAAAACTTCAGAAAAAGGAAGGCCTGCTATCTCAAGCTTACAGACACAGAACTGAGGCCGAGGAGACCAAGGCGTAACAGGAGACTGTGCAGAACCAGGAACTGAACCCAAATCTCTTGAGTCACCAACCTAGGGACCTAATCACAAAGCATCTCTTCTGTAGATAACTAAAGACACAACAGTTTCTTATGGGATAAAATAGTGACCCAGTTCTGCTCTCATGTACATTTTTGCAACTCTGTTGCTATCATCACAGTCACAGGAGGATGGGCCTGGCAGTCTCAAAGCCTATATGTGTATATATATCACAGTACATGATGTAAGACTCCCCCAAAATAGTGATTTTTGCAGCCAGAATTTTCTTCTGTCTTCTTATAAAGCATCAAACATTATCAAAATACAGAATGAGCTCCAACAGCAGCTGCTGTTGAAGATAAATGACTATAACCAGTAAGTTTTCATGAACATCAGTTAAGCCAGTATTAAGAACTCTGCCAAAATTATCCTACTGTTTAAAAGCATCAGTTTTAAGGGCTGATACTGTAATGGAAGATGGACCTTAAAGATAGCAAGCTGGGTCAATACCTCACTTGCTATATGCATCTTAGAAAAGCAGACATTTGATGGAACATCAGAAAAGTAATTCAGCCCTTGTTCCTCTTCCTACATATTTTTTTCCTTTTAGTATCCCAGTTTCTTCCCTTAGAAAATGTAGGGGCTTAAACCGTAAATTAGGTAAGATGACAACATGGATTTTTTTTGATGATTGTGAAATATAAAACCAGATATTTAATTTTTGAACACCAACATCTTTGGTAACTATTATTTTTGTACTTACCATGGTTTATCCCGTGATACTTTTGAAGGAAAGACTGTGTGCTGTTTGCTACTGGAGGTAAGTAGATTGTCTTTGGGCGTTTTGAATGGCTTTGAGTTGCTGCTGACAGGGTTATGGCCGCTGATACAGGATTTCGGTTTCATCTGTACTAGGGATGTCCTGGAATTGCAGGCTGGAGAAGCTGGAGAAGGGGAAGGTTTACACATTGAACCGTGTCTTCGTTCTGTAATGGAAAAATAATAGACTTTACAGTATTTCATAGGCTAAAAGAAAAAAAAAAAAAAGTCAAGGAAGAGGAAATTGTTCCTCTCTATGCTAATTACAATGATTTCATCACTCCGAAGAACACCAGTTCATTATTGTTATGAACGTAATCAAGCCAAATGATAGTTAAACAAAATCAACTCTGTGAAGTGTTCTGAAAAATGTAAAAAAAAAAAAAAAAAAAAAAATAAATGCTAATAATCTCCCAGAAAATTTCTCCAAGAAATCTCAAACCATTTTTTAAGCAATCACCAGCATCTGTGTGAGGTACACTGGGTGTCCCAGCTCTTTCATGTAAAGAAGAAAGAGGAGAGTATGCAACAACAGCTTGGATGACTCAGTGAAATACTCCGTGACAGACATGAGATTGCTTCTATAATGGTTTATGAAGAATTCACGTGACCGGTTATTGGGCAGTTTACTTTATGACTATCTTGTTTCAAGTTTAATGGGAAGCTATAAGGAAAACAACCGGAAGACTGAGAAGTAGCGAAAGGTCTACTGCTCCTAGCCCTTCCAGAGAGGCAGGCTCTGCCTGGTCGTAGCTTGGAGGTTATCTCCAACCACCAATCAAGGTAAAAGCTCATTTTTTTTCCACACAGGGCAAACGGCAAGTGCAAAAAAGCAGGAAGCTTATATATCGGTTACAAACATTGCATCTAGAGGTCAGGCCCTTGTGTAAAGCACTGTTCACGCTCACACAAGAGACCTCTTAAGTACTGCAAAAAGCAAGGCCTTGCTGACCCCGCAACAGGAGAACAGGCTTCAGTAAAATTATTTGGGTTTGATTATTACTATTATTTTTTAAAATCTTTATGTCCTATCCCTGGTGTTGTTAAATAAAAAGAGATTGTTTTAAGAAGGTATTTGACCATTCTTTACAAATTATATACTTCTCCAGGGGAGAAGCGCTAGTGCTTGGCCGGCCTGCTGGATCACAGTGCGCTGCAAACAAGGGCCTTGGTGCTGTGAACTTAAGCAGAACTACAAAATATTACAAGAGACAGAAGTTGTTTTTTGCTGGGAGGTGCTACAAATCCTTAACAGTCCTGTCCCCTCATTTGTGGGAACACCCTTCCCCAAGCCCTTCACCCTGCAGCGAGCCAGCCCCGGGGCCCCCCAGCCAGCGGCGACGGGCAGCACGGGCGGGCTGGGGGAAGAGGAACTTTCCAGTCAGCAGCAGCTGATGCCGGCTTGTCAGCACCCTGGCACCGAAAGCCTCCACCGCAGGGTTCAGCCAGGTACCCCCATTATTGACACAATAATCAAACACGGCAAGTGTAATGTAATAATAGACTGGAGTTTCTCCTTCAACATGCAGCAATTTTTTCATGTCTAAAGCCTTCAGCACTTAACTTGGAAGAATCCAAGTGGGTGCTACCCTTTGAGCTTGAACAGCATCGCCCCATCAGCCAAGAGCAGGTTAAGGAAGCAAGAGCGACCTGCTGCTGCAAAGGAAGGTTCTGTATTTACATCATCAACCCTGTGCTCGCTAGTTTGATATTTCAAGGATAACTAAGAAAAATTTTCCCACAGAGAATCATAACATGACAGTTTGTCTGGCATCCTCACAAGTAAAAACTTGCCAGTAGCAGAAGGATTCATCCATGATTAATTTGCAATATGCAAATATCTCAGGAACAAAGATAAATGCTTAAAAAAATAAAAGAATATTACAAACTGTTTCTATTACATCTCCAATAACTAAATAAAGACATCTTCTATTAAAGATCAAGCACTTCCATATCTTCATATTCACAGCTTTAATTACAAATCCTAAAATTCGCTCTAGATTCTCCTGCAACTGAAGAACAAAACGGTCTTAATTTTTTTAAATACAAAAAGTATCTCCCCTCATCCCCCCAAATGCCAGCTGTCATTTGCCAGTTTTTACCCCACCATACACCTCAGCATGTAGCCCCTGCCTTTAAAAGTCCTTTGCAGGATGCAGTTAATTTACATTCATTTCACCTCACATTTGTGGTCACAACGATGCAAGCTACGCCTCTGCCTCTGAAATGCAGAGTTCCATTCACAGAGTATTTATTTTGTTAAATAACAGTTATTGTTTCAAGATTCACCAACCTTCTCAGCAACTACTTAATTTAAATTAGCTTAATAAAAATTTGCAACTTTCCCATTAATTACTTGAGGGCTGATGAAAAGCAACTGCTATGTAACCAATAAAACCAAGCTGTATATAAAGTGAAACTTGGGAAAAAACATGATTTCCATAGACAAATTATATCAATTCAGGATTAATTACTCCAACCTTCACCACAGCTACTGGTTTTCTCAAGACTGATTGCCTTCTAGTAAACTGTGTCTTCGATATATTTGGAAGTGAAATACAGTACTCTGTTATTAAAATTAATCTTCCGGAAAGACAGACATTCAAGATACCGACCATCTAAAATTATATTTTAAAGTCATCTAAGTATCACATGCCATAGCAAGTTATTTTTTAACAGTCTCTTCACACTGGATTTTTAGTCAACCTAAATGTTTGGTGCTTTCCTAGACAACTTTCTCAATTTATTAATTCCCAAGAGCAAACCAGTACATTAACTTTGGATTTTTTACTATAACATAGAAAATGGTGGAAGAGGCACTGTTGTGATATGAAAATTTAATAATGTGCATCCCACTATTTTAAATAAATGTCTACTTAAAAAATAGGGAAGGAAAAGATTACAAGATTACTTATTTTATCTGAGTGTATCAGACTGGTGATCATTCTTATGCTCAGAATCAACTGCTATATTCAGCGTTTCTTTTACCATAAAGCCATACAGGAGGAAGAACGTAAATAGCCAGTGCCGTACAACAGTCGGCGTTCTCAGACACTGCTTGGATGGGTAAAATCTGCACCTTTACTCACATATGCGAACATCACTTCAGTGTCAGCAGGAGAGGGTGGCAGGAACACCTTGCAGGTAGGGCCACTGTGGAGAGCTGGCAAAGCAACTCCCTCCAAGGGGACAGAAAACCACCGTTTGACCTGGGCAAGCACAGCTGCAGGAGGCTGGACTTGCCCAGGGCATGAAACCTCATAGACAAATCTCAACGGTGGGGGCATAAATCATAACTAAGTATTGATATATTCCTTCTCAAGAACTATTAGGTTGCCTCTTGCTTCCTCCTTCCTTACTACATACGTGGTAGTGAATCAGCCTTAGACATTGGTAACAAGTTTCAAAGAGATATGATAGGACTATATGACAAAGCAAGAAGGCTGTCAGCTGTCAAAATCAACTGCTTAAACCAGGGTGGCGGTCCTCCTCTAACGAACTGAGCTTCCTGGTCACATCTGTTTTTTAAAAATTTCTACTAATTTGTCTATTCATATTTTACATATATACAAGGAATTACACACAATATAGAAATCTGCTATTATACAGCCTATGTAGTAAATTAATATGTTAATAAGACATTTGCATATCAAATAGTTGTTATAAAATTAGATATTCACATAGTAACACATCCAGGAGACAACCAGCCATCTGTGTAAAAACTTCTACACTCGTTTGCAGTTCATGTGTAGACAGATCAGGGCAGGTGAACTCGTACACACACAGCTGTGGACATGGCTGTCCCTCTTTACATACAGAACTGGCACAGTCACTGGACATAAATGAACCTAAAGTAGAATGAAAACTTTTGCCCGTAAAAAATGAAAAAATCCTGCAAGGCAACTAGAAAACCACTTATCATTCATAAGGTCCTAACCTAAACTCTACATGCGTTTCAGTTTCTGCAGAAGCCTGCAATGCTATGAATGTATGCTCAAGTTTGAAATACAAAAAAGAACTTTTCCAATTCATTTAAATACTTCCAAATGGATGTTTACACTCCACATAAATAACAGCAACATATTCTGTTTTGTTTCAGAATACCAGTTGCTGTCAAATCCAAAAGCAGAGAGAACACAATCAAAGTTACAATCCTCTTTACCGCATTAATCCTTCTGCAACCTCTCAGCTGTCTCAGCGCAGCCACTGCAGCAAGGGACAAGCAACATGTGACTTCTGCTGTCAAACAGTTAATGTATTAATGACATTGATCTTGGAAGAAAGTTTAACACTCTGTCACTGAATTAACTGAACTTTCCGAAGAATCAATTTCAGATTGATACCTGTTATTTTTTCTAGTTAGTGGCAAGAGTCTAAAAGCCCAACGTTACATATTGTCCTAATGCGCATTGCGAACTCTGCACCGTAGCATTGCAAACGATCTTAAACTATTCCAGGAGATTCTCCACGTCCTATGGAAACATGGATACAGTCCAACTTTCTCAGCCAAATCTGAATTGTTTGTAGATGTGAAGTCCTTATGTTGTTGGAGACTTAACAGTCCCTGAATCTCCAGAGCTTCTCTCCCATGCCCTTGTACTCTATTTCTAATCCTCCTTCCTGCATCCTACACAATGCAACCCCCTACCTTTCCCCAAAACCTCTGCTGCAGCTGCCAAAGTCCTCTAGGTCTGCCTTTGAATCTGTAATTCCACTGGATCCTCTCTGACAGGTCACCAGGGAATACTAGCAGCTGTTTTGCAGGAAACGCCACATCTCTTTCTAATCATAAGCAAAAAAGCAAAGCAATAGAGAGGCAACATGAGCTCCAGAGCCACAAGCACAGCGTGTGGGAAAAAGAGGCAAAACCACATTCTGAGTAAAAGTCTCTTCTTGAAATTTTGCTTCAACTCTCTCACACAAGATCAAGCACTCACTTAGCTCACAGCAAACCTTACACACAACGACACAACAGTAAATATGTTGCCAGTAAAATACGCCAACCGTGTGTTTCCAGGTAGACTGCAGTAGTTTTGTACCCAAAAAGATCTTTATATGATCCTGAAACTGCAGATATCTCTAATTTGGACTACAAACAAAAAACATTTCTTAGTGTATCCCACTCACATTCATTCTTACCCAACATGCGCTACTGAAAATTGACCAGATCAAGTGAACAGTTTTTGCCCACAGTTAGTGTCTTCTCCATCTGTGAGACACAGAAGATTGCAGAGGAAAAAAAATTATGATACAGCTTGAGCGTAGAGAAAGATATGCCCTTGGTCTTTCAGTAATTTTGTGCAGGTAGTTGAAAGGAAAGAAAAAAAAAAAATCCCTCTAACGTTGTCAGAAGAGAGACATGAGAACTTTGTCAGCGTCAGTCATTTTGAAACATTGCTCTTGTTTAGCACAAGCCGACTTCCTGAGTACAAGAGGCCTGAAGCAAAAATCAATTTTAGGTTGACCCATGAATAACTCGGAGACCCAGTGTTATAGATTATAGCTCGGTATTACTCTTGGTAAAAACAAACAGAACATAATTGCTAAAACTCAGAAAGCTAAGAAAGTTATTTGCTGTTAGTAAACATTTACAGAATAATAAAACTCCTTTTAAGCTTGTATTCATCACAACCCTTGAGTTCATAGCCCTTTTACTTAAAATAGCACAAAGTAACTGATCCGACTGCCCTTAACACAATATGAATACTGTTTGTTATTCCCCATTTACAATATTTAAGCAGATGGTAATGAAATCTAGTATCTCATCCACAATGTGATTCTGTTTCAGTAATATATCACAGTCTTGTTGATGAAGATGTTACTTATGGTAACTCCATACACCACTGCTGCACAAATTACAGTTTTGCTATTAACAGCATATCCTGAGGTGTTTTGCTGCACAGCCCTTCACTGTGTAAAGTTGAGCAATGTATACTTACAATTTCAGTAAATAGTAAGTGAAACCTGCCACCTTGTACTGATCCCAGTTCAAAGTTTGCAAATGTACTTGCCATTAATTCTAGTAAAACCAAAACAGGAAAAAACCACACATGCCCGAAAAGCGACAGCCAGCGACCAGAAAACTGAGCAACTAGACTGCTTGCAGAAATGTGTCATCCTGCAGTAACTGGCAGCTGGTTCATAACAAGAGTTCATAAACACCTTGTAAGCACTTTCATTTTGCAGCCACAGTCTGAAAAAAACTAACAAAACCCAGTACATGAGGTTAAGCAAAAAAACCCTTGGATTCGATGCTAGCAAACTACAGCATAACGTTGCAAGATCGAAGGACAAACTTTACCAGCTTTTTTGACAAAACACTATTCCAAGTCCAGCCGAAAAAGTTTGGAAATAATATCCACAAACCGTTCCACCCTTCTTGCGCTGCGCACTGGAAAGGAAACAGCACAGTCGGTTTCATTTTGATACTTCTTGTAAACTGACAAAGGAAATAAACTGCCAGCTCAAACCCCCGGACAGATCCGCTGCATAAAACACAGCTTGACAATCACAAGCTTCGTTCTAGGTCAAATGACATAATTGGGAAATTATCAAGTGCTAAAATCACCACCGTTCTGCTGGTGTTTATTTACAATCAACACAGGCTTTGCTTTCTGACATAAACCCACTAAAACGATTCTCCATTTCACAAAGTCTACAAGTGAGTAGGATCAGCAAAATTATGCAAAACATCCTGCTAGAAGAAGAAATGTAAACTGAGCCACTTACAGAGAGGAGCAGGCTGCCAACTTAATCTGATTCTACGACGACTGTAAACATGTACTTTTGGAACGTGAAATGATTCACATTGCCACAGATGCCGTCAGAGAAACACAGCAACGTGATTAGGTATTCTGCACACGGTAAAAAATCCGGCAGATGACCTGCTGCAGCAAATACCAGATCAGTGCTCGCACACACCAACTGTTTTGACTACAGGCACTTGTTAAGCACCAAGTTTCAGGTCCTACCAGTTGGACACCAGAACTGATCCTCTGCCAAGAACAACAAGCGCTGAAAACGCCTGCGGGGTTTTTTTTTTTTTTCCTTTTTTTTTTTTTAAATAATTGTTGATACAACTCAAGTAACTGCAGAAATGAACCAAAGTGTAAGATTAAAAGCAGCAAAAACACAAGTGTACAATTTTTATTTCTTGATTCAAGAAAGGAGGAGGGTGTTTGTGTTTAACAAACCTGCTGTTTTCTTGAAAAATCTTATTGATGGGACAACTTGGCATTTGCCAGGATAATTACAAGAGACAGGAAGAATAATCTCTAGAATATCACTAAATTACATTTAAGTGGCCAAATCTCTTAAAAATGGCCAAATTCCATAAAAAGCCACACACTCAGCATTTCCCAGAACACTTCCTTCCTCTCAGTAGAAAGTATAAAATAAAAAAAAAAACACAAAGGGTTAAATGGAACTCCAGAACGGCAAAAAAATCCTTCAAATAGTGCGATGAACTACACTAAATGTAAAATTAAGCTGTTGGGTACTTGTCTGCTTCTTTTTCAAGGATTTTGAGATCTAAAGATGAAGCTCCGAGGTATCACTGACATATCAGACACACACAAAACCAATGGAAGAGTGAATACCTTGCCCTAGTGACAATGTCAGTCTTCACATCGCTAAGCTGGGAGACCTAGATTTAACTCTGGTGTCAAGGCCTGTTTCTTCAGCTATAAAAGGGGATACTAATGATTTAGGGTATCAACTTGATTTAAAAAAGAGTTGCAGATTTAAGTAGGAATTCATCACTTCTTGTAATGACACAATTCCATACGTGTAATCAGCATTTGCCACCTGACACACTGCTACTGCAGAAAAAAATTACAATTTTTAACTATAAGTCATACATATTTCTTAGCTCAGTGGGGCCAAAAATCCCAGGCTAAAAAAAGAAATAACAGAGCAAGTGAATCCTGGGTACACACTTTTTTGAGTGACATTACCAAAGAAAAGCAAGGAGAAGTTAAGCATAGAAATTTCCCGTTCTGCTGGAAGAAATGCTCTGGTAGTCCAACATGAAAAGAGGGGGGCATCCTGATGTGTCTGGGAGTGTTTGAGAGAAATACCATCTCATACCTTGTGTCTACTGCTTATACCACAAGGGTAGCCCTCGCCATCCTTTTGCCTCTGCACTGCTATATTATTACCTGCTGACCAGTGGCAATGGTATTTCTACCATTTTTGTTCTCAGAGCAAGGAAATGTATTACCAGTCCTAAACTTAGCGCAGGTACATCAGGTGAAAAGCTAAAACATTTCTAGCAATCAAGGAACAGTACTTTCCTTCAAGCAAAGGTAAGCACTGCTGACAAACTTGAATTTTGAGGGTGCCTTTATATGTGAAGAGAAATCCTTTATTTGGCTATTTGTTGGATGCAAGAAAAAAGTATCCTTACATTTAACACTGAAATATAACATAAGGAACAGCACTCTAGTGTACTAAATATATAAATGTAAAAGCAGCTCACCTACTCATTCCTCCAAACACCCAACTTAAATTTACTCCAGACACACTGTTGCAAATAGAGGAAAATTTAGTATTGCGTTCCTCTCATGCTTCATACTGTGTAACAGACCCGTTTCCTCAGGCCTCAGACAGATCTTTCCATTCAAGCTCATCTGATGATACATATTTTTATATTTATTTACTTATACCTAGCAGGTAAAATATTTCACTGTATCTCTATATCCATCTTTAATGATACTTACAAAACAGTAACAAAAAAAGTAATTTATGTATATTATTGTTTTAGGAACTCATCAGTTTCCCCTCATCTGTCATAAAACTATTACAGAAAATGGATACTTCTTTAATGCTTTACTTAATCCAAACAGATATAATGGCATCTCTTTTTACAGGTAAGAAATGATAAAAGAGTGAGATGGGACTACTGAGGCGGTTTGGCAAAAAACAACGCTGTACTACGACTCCGAGAAAACAGGCTACTGTTTTTAGGAGACTTATGTTCTTGATCTATTTTTGTGCATAATATCATACCAGATTTTATTCACTATCAAGATAACACATCACCAGCTCATTTTATCATTTCTTAGAAGAAACTTGTACCAAACCAGTAATTTTTCTGAAATTAGCCCAGAATAATAGCTTTGCAGGACTTGTATATAATCTATTGCTTAAACCTTGTGGCTTTTTCAGCTCTCTTATCTGGGATCCAAAATCAGCATCTGGTGAAACAATGTATTTCTTAATAAGCTGTTTTCTAAGCAGAGAAATAATGAAAAAAGTTTTTCTAAAAATCTATGGCTTTGATCCCTAAATTTGCTCCATCTTTTACCCTGAGCTTCTCCACCCCCTAGCACCCTCACCGTTTCATGCCATATCCACAGTCCTTTGCCTCCCCCCAAAAGAGAGAGGATAAGCTCTGTCTGGGCTGTAGGTACACGTATGACAATCGTCAGTACAAGCGTGCTGCTGCCACATGAAATACTGTTCTCTGGGGGCACTTTAATTAAGGTGTCTCTTCACAGTTGCTGATTTTCACAAGATTGCTGAAACTTCGTATTTTTGAACCAAATTAGCAAAGAGTTAAAAATTCTTAGACAAAATTGGTATAAACACACAAGCATTATTGCTATTATTATTATTACTACTACCATTATTACAATAATTATAATCTTCTAGGAAACTCAAGTTAAAATTTATATATGACATTTTTTCACTCGCTTTTCTGTGTTTGCCACTCCTCATGGATATTCCCAGGCATCAAATTAATCCCCCTGGAATATTCTGACATCTTTTGAAAATCCAGGTAACCAATGAGATCTGCCCAACTAAGGACACTGTTTTGTTTTGAAAACTGAATAAGCTTATATTTAAATTTCAATTCGCTTTATCAAACCCTGCTACAAAAGCAGCAAGTGTCAGTGCAGAATACTTCCTCATTCCAGATGTTTTAGATAAGTCAGTTCACTTACCTTTCAGGCATATTATTTGCCATAGGTAATAAAATCTATTATTTAGAATGCTGCAGGAGTACCCACAAGTGGTAACTCCCGAATACGCAGCCTCCAAAGGGAACGTTCAAAATAATTCCTAAAGAGGTCACTTGTTCATGTTTCCCTCACTACATAACAATAGCTCTTACAAACAAGAAACCAAACTCTCAACCTTCTACAGCACAAAACTGAGCAGACAACACTGAAAGACATACCCAAATACAAAAGTGGGTTTGTAGGGCATTTTTTATCTGTTCCTCTCCCTTAAAAATCTCTTTAGTTATATATTTACATGCAACTTAAGATCTAAAAAGATGGTTTCTACTTAAACTTGCATCATTTATGCCTTCTAACTGTGCAAACTAAAGAAACTTGGACCTAACCACACATGAATGAAAGAGATGTAAATCAACCTTGGAGAGTACAAGTGACAAATACTTCGTATTCTGCCTCTGAATGCACCTCTTAACCATTCCTTACTGCAATGAACTTCACATATTACAAATTACTTGTTTTGGATAAACTATTTACCTGTTCATAATACTAACAGCTTTCCCATCATTGCCCTTAAATGGGAGAGAGCATTGTATGTCTACAATTTTAAATGTCTGTTCTACCTACATAAAAGATTTCTTTCAAATGGGCCTTCACTAAGTTTTTTCAAGCTATTATATAATCAATAACAAATCAAGACTTCCAAGATTTGTTGAAGCATGGTCAGTGTTTCAGGTGCTGTGTGAAGAAAGGTATTTTCCAAGGCCACACAAAAATTAGAGTGCAGATCTGAATTTAATGCATTCCAAGTTTATTCACCCACTTACGTTGCCTCTGTCATGTATTAATGTGGCAGGAATGGCACAGGGGAAAGAGACAGATGATTTCCATTACAACTACCTACCAAGGTGCATGAACTGCACAACGTGGCACAGCTGTGATGGCACAGCTGTGCAATTCAGCCTTCCCTCCTACCACTTCCAACCCTTGAACAACCGGTCATCCAGTGCAGGTGGTTCCAACTTTCTATGCATCCTCTCAGAAGTGCATACATACTATATTTTAGAAAAAATTTTAGGAAAAAATAAATGTGCAGATGCTCACCAGCTTAAGACATGGGATATTTTTCCTATGAGGCACTCTAATTACTTTCTATAATTCTTATGTAAGCTTACTGGGGGGGGAATCACTTCTCATTAAAACAAGGCAACTCAGAACAATTCCTGCGAGTTTTAACATGGACAGTAAGCAAACAAACCAAGATCATTAGAAGTCGAACTTGCAAGCAAGTCCATACAAAGGAATCTGTTTTACCTGAAGCCATTTAACTATGAGATATGCAACAGGAAGTCTCTGAGAACAAGCATGCAATAAACATCTTTCCAAGGTGTCAAATGTTTGACATGTATCAGTTGTTTTTGATTTAAACCACCCAAGTCAATTGGAGAACAGGTAAAACATATTAGGATGATTATTTCCTACCAGGGCTTAGTTGGCTTTTTATAGTGCTAGAACCTGGCTTCATCCATGCTTGGTGTAATATGTCACTTCAGGTGGGAAGAATGAATAGTACATCTGTTTGTCAAGACATGAGAATAGCCTTTGGTCAGCCAAGAAATGATTAAAGGGGGACTAAGCTTGGAAGTTAACAGGAAGAAGAGACAACAATTTTGAGACAAGGATTTCGAACTGGGTTATTTATAGAGTCAACACTCAATTATCCATGGTCAGATTATCTGTACCAGAGATGCAGAAACAAATCAGCTCCAGCTGGGCTCATTAGCCTAGGTGCAGCTCAGCACAAATGTTCCT